TTGATTTGTAACAGTTGAAAATAAGTAGTAGCATATTTTGATGGTGACTGTGCATCTCCACGTTACCGTCATGCAATCCCTTGGGAAGCTTTGAAGACATTCACATGACTGTGTGTAATACTTTAGATGTTAGTGATGTAGCTTCACCATTTTGTTTGTTTGTTTGGGGTGTGGTGATTTTGTGTCATGGTCTTGCTAGATAGGCTTCACCAGCTAGAAACTCACTATTATGTACAAGATTGGCTTCAAACTTTCAGCAATCCTCCTGACTCTTGAGTATTGACTGCATGCTTGCTGATATCTATCCCTGATGATGAAATTGTTTCCCATTCTTAGTCTCCAGCACAAACAGTTGAGAAGTTTTGAGCAAACAACAAAAAGACAAACCATTATGAGTTACAACAATGCTTCCACTGAACTGAAACTACCAACTTGATATTTTCAGGCTATGTGTACATAGCACTCAGAAACAAGCACAAAAAAAGATCTGATATTGGTGGCTGTCACTATCACTGACTTGCCTTGGTTTTGTGGTTTGCTGCTCTAACAGCTGAGATGAGAAAGATCATCTCACCTAATCAGAATGGCTATCCTCAGGCACCAGACAACTGCTGTTGAGGAGAGTATAAGGAAAGAGAAATCATCATTCACTGTTGGTGGGAGAAAAATAATATAGTCATTTTGGAAATCAGTTTAGGAATGCCATATATTTACATTTAAATACACACATGTATCTAAACTATATATAGTTATATATACATATATAACTATACGTGTGTGTGTGTGTGTGTGTGTGTGTGTGTGTGTGTGTCTACACATATACATAAAATTTGGTTCAGTATTCTATTCCTAAACACATGGCCCAGGAATCAATATCCTACCGCCAACCATAGGGAAACTTGCACACCCTGGCTTACGGCTGCTTTATTCATAGTAGACAGGAAATAACATAATATAGTATTATTCAGTTGTAAAGAAAAATGTAAAAATGAAATTTCTAGGAAAATAGATGTCCCTGGAATGTATAATATGTGAGGTGACTTGCTTACTATTAGGTCACAAGCAAACTCAGAAAGAAACAAACAAGTATCGTGCAGCCCAAAATGTATTTGTAGGGTGCTCTCTCTCTCTCTCTCTCTCTCTCTCTCTCTCTCTCTCTCTGTGTGTGTGTGTGTGTGTGTGTGTGTGTGTGTGTGTGTGTGTGTGGTGTGTCAGTGGGCAAAATCTAAACATTTAGAGCTGAAACCTAAATAGGTTAAAGGACAGAATGTAGTGGAAGGGACATGAGTGATGAAACATGGTGTAAATGTGAATTTAACATTCTGTGTACTGAAGTATAAAGAAGCATTTTTACATTTTAAAAGAAAATTATTCCAATGTAAGTTCTTTCCTTGACTTAATTATTGTGAAAGCTTGGCTTCCTTTAATCCCACTGACCATTAGTGCAATGTAAAGTAACATGACTTGTCACATTGACTGACTTGGGGAAAATGATTTATTAATATTTTGAAATAATAATTTAAATAAATCATCTTCCCCTTCCTTTACTCCCTCCAAATCACCCAAAAGAAATTTTCTGGGAAGAGGAGTTTTATGACCTAATTTTTTCTATTTTAGGCTTAAAATTACAATTCCTCATTCCGTTATAATTTTAGTAAATATCTATTCGATGTGCTATATACAATGTATTTTCTAAAAATTAAGTATCGTCTACATAAATTTGTATTTGGAGGTATGCTTAAAATTTTCTACTTGTGTCTATATATAATGAGACTCAATGGAAAAAGAGAAAAAGGAATTGTCAGAGAGCAGATGTATTTGTCACTCTTGTAGACTTGCAGTGCCTTTTACTACCAGGGATTTCTCTTTCACTGTCATTGAGGAAACAGCCCATTTAGACTGTTTATTAGAACTGTAGCCAAATTTCTTCTCTGCATGCTAGACAAGACTACAGTGAGGTGGATGGGCATGCTTCACTAGGAGGTTTGATTTTTATTTTTTATTTATTTATTTTTCAAAGAACAACAAAACCAACCAAATGTGGCTGCTCTGAGCAGTCATCCCTCAGGGCTATTGTTATTCCTATGATTTTGAATTTTTAAACTGTCCTATCTCCCATTTGTTCTGAAACCTCTGCATTTTACATTTTATCCTCAATTCAATAAACAACTTCGCACTTTTCCATGCTGTACCTGTTGCTTGAAAAGTAGATGCAGAGATGAGAAAATTGTGTAATTGATGAGACATGCACACAAATATGATAATACTGTATTTTTACCTATCAAATTATAGAAAAGTAAAAACTACAGAAGGTAGTCAATTTGCAAAGTGTTATGATAAATACACATCGTATGCTTTTATTGGAATTACATTTTAATTCAAACTTTTTAAAGAAATTTAGAAGGAAATAGCATTGAGACTAAAAATATTATCAACCAAGGCATTTTTACCTGTTTCGACTATTTTATGAAATTACTCAATATACTTTCAAAAATGCACATAACTTCATAGAAACATTCTTTTAGAATAGATTTGGTAATGTTTGGTATGTTAAAAACAAGACAATCTAAATGTTCATCAGTAATGGAACTGCTGATGGATTATTATTTGTTCCTTAGAAAAACTGAAATATAAATACACAAATGAAAAATACCCTTCTATGGTCTTTTGAGGATGACTATGAGACTAACAATTTGTATAGCAAAGTTTATCTTCCAAGCAATATAAAACATCTATTGACATGAAGATGTACATATTTGAATGTAACAGGTAGACATACAGATAAATTATTTAATGGAGAGAGAAAGGCAGGAGATATGCCCTGGGTCTTAGGGCCTGTGCAGGAAAAATCTACAGATGAACCAAACTCATGGGAACTCACAAACTCCAGTCCAACAGCCATGGAGCCTCCGTGGTACTGAACTAGATCCAATGCATGTGGAAGACAGTTGTGTGGCTTGGTCTATGTGAGGTGCCCCTGACAGTAGGACCAGTATGTATCCAGGTGCATGAGCTAGGTTGTAGGAGCCCCTTCCCTAGGGTGGGATGTCATGCTCAACCTTAATGCAGGGGGGCTTGGTCCTGCCTAAACTTAATTGACCAGGCTTTGTTGACCCCTCCATGGGAGCCCTTACTATGTGGAAGTAGTGTATGGGTTGTGGGCTGAGAGGGAGGTGAGGGTGGCAGGAGGAGGGGTGAGAAGGAAAACTGTGGTTGAAATGCAAAATGAAATTAAAAAAAAAAACTTAAAAATTATTTAATGGATATGTACAATAGATTGTTCAGGAAGACAAAGTACCATACCACAGTTACAGGGGAGTAGATGTATAAGGGACATACTTTTTTTTCTACAATAGATTCTGTAGTGAAGGTGTATTACAATTACATAGATATATATGTATATAAACTTTCATTTATTTACTATAAAAATAAAGGATATTAGAATACATAAAATGCAAAGAGGATAGACAAGCAAGTGGTACTTCAAGTAACTGAAAGAATTGAAATGAGGAAACCTTATAAAATCAATATTATTACAGTTTCCTTACACATACAAATAAGCATATTATTACTAATTATTAGGTCATATTACCACCAAGAGCCCTGTAGATGAGTGTCATTTACTAAAGACATACTATGCAGCAATGTGTCTGGAAGACATTTGCCCACTTAACACAGATCTCTAAGGAAGACAGTATCATTCCTCACTTTATAGGTGAGACACTAATACACAGAAGCCATGCTATCCAGATCCAGTTAACCTGAGGGGATAAACTTTTCAATGTGTTTTTCTTCCAACCTTCAGAATAAACTACTTCTGTGAAGTACAGAGACTATTCAAGAGCAAAGAAAAGCATAATCTCAAGAGAGAATCTCTGAGCCAGGCTCATGACTTTTCCTGGCCTTAATGTCATTTGTCAAAACTTGCTGCTTGTGAGTAGTTGTGAACTTCTCTGGCTGGCAGGGTATGAAACTGGACAAAGCAGCCTTCAGAATCAATGTTAGGACAAGCCTACCAGTGATGGCAAAGAAGCTCCATCAGACACTACTCAGTGTTTGGAAACCTGTTCTGGATGGCAAGTAGCAAGGCATGTAAGAAATAAACAATTACAGTTCTGGAAGACTATGATAATTGTGCTTTATTAACACTATTTTACAGAGATTTTCATGGTACAAATTTTGTTCAGTTGTTAAGGAACAATAGATTTGAGTACTTATATTCTAGTTCTTGGGAAACAGTCTATAGACTTATTTAAAACTCTACTTGTTTTTATTTCTTTTGTCTTTTACACAGTACACAAAAGCTTATTCAGCTTCTCTCTGCTTTATGTGGTCTAATGTTTACTGCCATGCTGATAGAGAGAAAAGAGGTCACCATAAGAGGATGACATTAATAAGTTAATGAGGCCAAATTAATGATAATTTAGTTCAGTCTATATTTATTTCATCAAAAGTCCATGTTTCACGTTGAAAATATAATTTTATTCCACTATGACTTACATATTAATGATAAACTATGTTATGAGAGTGGTATTCATCAGATTCTGCAGATAATGCATGAGAAAATTATATTATGACTTCTAATCTTTGTTAATTAGTTTCTTTTTTCAGTCTGCAACAAATCTATACTTAATATTAAACAAGTAAAAGACAGCCATTCTTCAAACAAGGTTTAGTAGCTTTAATTCTTTCTCTGCATATGTGTGTGTGTGTGTGTGTGTGTGTGTGTGTGTGTGTGTGTGTGTGCATGTGTCTCTGTATGTGTGTTTGATATGATTAGTAGTTCTTACACTATTTTGTACACACACCACCCTGAAGTGCATTGCTAGCTACTTTGAAGAATATGTGTATTTGCTCTTCTTATGTAGTTGCCATTATTGTTTTCACGTACTGATCCTCTGAAGAAGTTAAATGTCTTTTCTGTACACATCGAGCTGGTTATTTAATTACTAACTATTAAGTGGATCAATTATAATGAAGTTATATTCATGCTTACTTACCCTGGCATTGGTCCATTTCCAGAGAGACTGTAAACCTGACGAGGATTTAGTAAATACTGGAATTTTCTGTAAATTCTATAAATGTGAAAATATGGATGGCAGGCAATTTAGTAAAAACCAATAATTTTTCAGAAACATTACATACCTCAGTTTCACAAGTGTAAATGTATTTAAAGATATCTGATAAATTGACCCTTTGTAATATCAGGTGTATAATGCTCAAAGAACTAATGGCCCTCAAAAGAAAGGACACAAACATAAAGATAATACAGCTTGGAAGTCAGAAATGATGCTCATGTTGCCATAATGCAGCAAGTGCTAATCCTCCATTGAATATTATTTTATTAATTATAATTTAAATAAGTATTTTAAAAAATATTTCAGCATAAAATATTTAAATATATTCTCTTAATAAATGGCTATGAGGAGCATATTTTTTATCTCCACAGATCTCAATATGGTTATGAAACTAACTAATAAAGATAAGAATTATCTCAAATGGAAAGTAGGTTTACACAATTCATAATGCACATTCCTGTAAGTAAATACATAGTCTCATTGCTATACATGAATACTTTAGATCACAAAAGTACCAAATTGTTCCAGAAGGTAAATTTTAAATAGTTTACTTTTTGAAAGAAACCAATCTATTATCTCATGTCCAAATCTGCAAAGAACTATCAAACAAAACTTTTTACCTTAATTTATTATAATGTCTTATTTTTTATTATTATACACTGTCACAAGATATACATTGGAGTAGTTCTCAGTTATTTCCTTTTTCCAGTTCATGAACAGAAATGTTAGTACAGTCCTGTGCCTTCTAAGGAGTGGTATCTCTCATCTCTGGATGTTCTTATCCACTAGTATCAATCAATGACACAGTAGTATGAAAACATGTGAGATGACAGCCATCATTTAACTTTAGTCTTAGACGATATCCTTGGTGAGATGTTCCTGGTTGACAACATGCCCTTTCACGAATCTACATTCTCCTTCATTCATCTGGTGAACATCTATTTATGTAACACCCAATACAAGAGTACTTATTCTGAGATTTCTCAGTTTTCACGGATATTTCCTCCTCTGAACTTCCATAGCAACCATATTTTAAACCTCTCTGTGTTAACATTCTTCATGTGGTTTTGCAAAATGTGTGTTGGCATGCCCCCATCACTAAACCTTATGTCTTTTACCCTAGTGGTAAAAGTTGCTAGTAGAGTTTATATGTGCCCAGTAGGAACTGTCTGAGGAAATGATATGTGAAAATTGTCACACCTGTTGGCTGTTACAGGAAACTTTGTGTTGATATGTAATTATGTGACATTTCCAACGTATCAAAGTAAAAACGGTAGAAAAAAGTTAAAAGGAAATGGCTGTATAGAGTCCTATTTTGAAATAAATCTCTCCCAGGAAAATTTTGGACATTCTGAATATTGTTTAACACATCTTTTCACTTTATTTGCCAAATCTTTTATTCTTTGATACTTCTACACAGGTGTAAAGTGAAGCATGGTCATCCTCACACTGCATCTGTTTCCACTTATTGGTTGGTTTCATTAGTGAGTACAATGTTGCTTTGAGCCCTCTTAAGTATATACATGTCATTGCCATTTATATGTTGAACTTGACCATTAAATGTGAATGTAAGTGGCCCTGAGAATTTGTATGCAGTTTTGAACAGAGGACCTTAGCTAAGGCTCTTCTCTTGACTGAAGGCCATTTCTGTTCTGACAGGTAAGTTTTTTCTGTTCACTGTAAGTACAGCCTTGAAGGAATGAATTCAGTGTTAAGGAAGAAGAGGACACCTCTTAACCAGCTGGATCCAATGACTTAGCCCTTGGTGACCTTCAGACATGCATCCACCTCCTCCTTCAGGTCCTCTTATTCTTTTGTAAAACTACAGACTAACTTTATTTGGAACTACCCATCTGTGCATGGCTATGGAACCTTTCATGGGTCATGTACCACATGTCAGGTATCACAGCCTCAAGAGAATGATGCCCCACCCCTAGCTAAAAATAGACACTAAGTTACAAGTAGTTCTCCAGAATACCTCTGCCATATCCTGGAATATTGGCTGGCTTGATCTTGTCATGTCTTCTTGAGATAAACATTGCTACTGTGAGTACTTAAATGAAAAGCTGTATCTGGTTCAGAAGACAGAATTTCCCAGTGTGTTTTCCATGCTCTAGTGGTCACCCCATTAGTTACTAGTACTAACTCAGATGATCTGGATGTTTACAAGGGTGTCCCTTGTTGGGAATGTTGAGCCAGATAAACTTAGAAAAAACTCACACTACAAACCTTGGGTTTATCTAATACTCTCAACTGCCAGAAATACAGGCATGTACCACAATAATTAGTTGAGTTTCTTACTTGATTTCTATTTGAAAAAAATTTACTATGGATCTGTAACAACAGTACTAATGTTTTCTGTTGATTTGTATCCTGACTTTTAGCTGAGATTATGTATAAATGCTCATATTTTTACAGCATGCAGGGCATTTTCTATGATGTAATGATTTTCTTTTACTAATTTTGGCATCTTATGTTTTTTCTCTTACACGATTGCTTTCTATACGTTTCCAGTACTACACAAAATAGTGATGAAGTTGTCATGTTGTTTATTTCAGACCTCAGAAAAGAAGCTTTCAGTTTTCCTACATTTCTTATGATGCTATTAGTAGCTTTTTCATGAATGATATTGTACTATGCACAAGTTAATTTCTTCTTTATCAAATTTCTTCAAAATTTTTCCATTAAGGGTGTTAAATCTGATTGTTGAGTAACTTTTTTGTACAGTGTGAAGATGTATGTTTGCCAAGGCACCTTCTAATTAGTTTAATAAAGAGTTCAGTGGCCAATAGCTAGGCAGGAGGTGAGACTTCCAGGCACAGACAGGACTCTAAGAAGAAGAGAGGCAGAGAAACCAGCAAATGTGGAATGATTTGAGTACACAGAATGAGATAGAGGCAAATGACACATAGCTGAATGTAGATTAATAAATATATGGGTTAATTTAAGTTATAAAAGCTAGTTAGCAACAAACCTATGCTATATGTCAAGTTTTCATAATTAATAGCAAGTGTCCATGTCATTATGTGTGAGTTGGCAGCCCAAGAAAAAAATCAGAGTAGAAAATTTTCTGCATTTATTAACATGATAATATGGATAAAACATATCTTCAATAAAAGAACATAAAATGGAATGGGCGAACATATCCCCAAAATATGAAACTCATAACCCTGATATCAACATTCATAAAAATTTAAAAGTGGAAAAATTCTGATTAAAATTAGAAATATAGTTAATAGAGATTCTCAAAAGACAATAGTGTATGTGAAAAAGCAAAACAAAACAACATCAACAACAACAACAACAAAAAACCTTATCCCTGCCACAAACACTTAGGGACAAGCAAGTGAAAACTGCAGTGTGAGATCAGCTGATCTCAGTGAAAATGGCTGTTATTAAAATTCCTAAAGACTGTTGAGGATGTGGAGAAAAATTATCCCCTACCTGCTATAGGTATTAGTGCCCTATTTATTAGTCGACATAGTAGAGGCATACTTCCAAATCTTAAAGACTGAACTTCATTTTGATTCACTAATATATATGGATCTAAAGTCATTAAAATAATGTGTTCAGGAAGCTCCTGCACCCACACCCACTGAACTACATTCACAACAGCCAAGAACTGGAAACAAGCAACATGTCTACTACTGTCTGTGCAGATAAAGTGCATGTGGTAAGATGGACTGTGAATGAACAGCACAGAAGCCTGTCGTTTTGTCACCCAATGGATATACCTAGACTTTAAGTATAGTGAGCTATGCAAAACTAGGTAAGTACAGCATGATCACATTATGGAATATAAACATGATGATATCAGAGGTGACAGTATATTGTAAGTTATCAAAGGCTGTGATAATTATGGAGAGGGAGCAGCTGTGAGATGGGAACTGATCTACAGTTTCCTAGGAGCAAAATATGCTATTTGCCCTGGGAAATAGCAAGACATAATTCACAGTTAATTAGGCAAGTAAAAATGTTTTCACATTTTACCACAAGGAAATGATAAACATTTGAGGAGATATGTTCAACCTGATTGTACATTAAACAATGTATTAAAAACACCACAAGATAGCATATTAATATTTACTATTTTTATGCTTTTATTATTTCTGAACTAAATTGAATTACAAAGGTATGTGTAATATATTAAGATTGTCAGAAAAGTAATTTTGCATTACTATTTAATTTCTGTTTTCATGAGTGAGGCAACTGGTCTCTTTAATGGAATACTGTGGAACTTTAAAGTTTTGAGTTAGTATCAGCTTATATGTTTGTCAGAGTAAAATATAGATATATTGTGTGACAAAGCACAAGTTTATAGTATTTTATTGGAAGACAAAGAAATAAGCTTTACTTAGTCAACATCACTGAAAAGTTAAATGACAACACAAAAAAAATTAATTTTCACAATTCTATTGGCATGGAAATCTTTCTCATTTGTGGTAAACAACAATGGATTCTGGTGTACAGTCCCGTGCTTGTGTTTACCTCTTTTCATACATGAGATTAAAAACAACATCCCAGGAGAGGTAAGGAAGGTATAGCTGATTTTATGACTCATGTCTATACTAGAACACACTTTCCAGTGATTTGCTTTTCATATTTATGTTAAAAAATATGACTTAATTACTAATTAACTACAAAATTAAAATTTAGTACTTTTGGCCAAAGTAAATACTGAGATGCCTGATGTTAGTTAGTTTTTGTTAACATTAGATATACTGTGCTTCAACTAGAAACACGTTATCATGAATCCTAAAATCTACACAGAAAATCACCATAATATATTTTTGCCTAGAAATTGCATATAAATTCTGTTCCTTGGTAATGGCTGTGATTCAGTTAGGGCCTACCTGTTGGTTGACCACTGAGAAAACTAATTTCAACTCAACATTGTTTATGAATATTTTTCATATACTAATCTCTTTGCTAAGAGACAAAGGTCATAGGTGTGGTAGAGAAAATGAAAATACACACATTCTGATAGTTAACATTCTTACAAAAGGCATTTCAAATATAAAAAAAGTAGTGATTGATATCAGTGTGTTACATATACTGTTTGCTAGCACCACTAAAATTACTATCCATTGAGAAGTAGTGTTGTTTACATCATGAATGTAGTTTATTTTTTTACTTCTATGATATAGAAAAAAGGACACAACTTTTAAAACATACCGTTCTCCTTGCTTTCCCCCACTTTTGGGGTTAACGAAAACTAGAAGTGGATGTGTACCAGGAACAGGAGTGATCTAGAAGGAAATATGGAGAAATTATTAGGCTTAGTATGGGAAGAGGAAACAAATATCTCTCACATTGAAAAATCCATTCACAAATGAGCCTTTCTTTAAACTGTGTCTGCAGTCACAAGGAAAAGAATAAAGGTCTTATGGAAAAGCAAAAGCTACGGTTTGTGGAACATTCCATAAAATAGCAAAAATAAATCAGTTTAAAGAAATAAAGAAACCTGTTACATATAGAAAAGTTTCTTTATGCAGAGTGCCCCTAACTTAGAGTTAGTGTTCCACATGGAATCTGTCTCCCTTTGGGGACCTCTTTCAGACCTAGTGTTCTAGTCCATACCCTTTGCCTCAGGACTTTTTTCTTATTTTGAAAACAAGAGTCCCAGTGAAGCATGCCTATTTGCTAACCTGTGGTCCACTAACTGTTGGTCTCCCCTGGTAAATGGAGCAGACTGTGATCTCTGACTATGCTGTCTTCATCACTATTTATTATGCTGTGTATAAAAAAGGCAATGTGCTTCCTGGTAAAATTTTAAGTTAGGAAGAAGTACACACTATTACACAAACACATGGATGAATCTGGACGCTAGAGAAATGGGCCAGGAAGGAAAATAATACTGGTGTTGTGTTGATGCACTGAGAACATGGGATTATTTTAGGTAGGTGGAAAAGAAATCTTGTATCTGAATTCATTGTTGTTAGTTAGACACCAATAAATGCATACTGGGTAGGAACACCATTATTCAAAGAATATTGACACTGTGCATAAATGGAGTATAAAGCAAAAATTAAAACTATTTTAGCAAAACTTATGAAACCAATAGGACACATTAAATATTAAGATGGGAAGTAGTTTCAAGTTATACTTGATGTGGTCTTATTTCTCCCCTAGAGATGATCCTTAAATATTTAATGTGACAATTGAAAGCAATCATTTCATTAGATCATGCCCTTTCTTGCTGTCTGTTTTAATGGTATCCGTTTAATTATTCCTTCCTCCCAATCTTAAGTGAAATGGCATCTTTCTAATGAGTTTGGACAAGGAAGAAATGTTAATATCTTCACATTGACTAAATGTGAAAGATGAATAGGATAGTCTTTATTTTTCTACTGTAAACCAACTAATTCTGGAGTCAGTTATTGTATTTACTTTTCCCTTATAAAGAGAATGAAAGTCCTTCTCTTCTATATTACCTCTAACCAGTTCATCAAGGGCAGGAGAGCTGTAGGGTCTGTAGTTACTTCCTGTTCCTCCCTGTAACAAATGTGCTCAGTTAATGTGAATGTAGTGTCCACTATCATAAAGTCCTGGTCCCGTTGGCTTGAACTAGATGTCATATTACTCATCAAAAAATGTGGAAAAATAAAAAACTCTATCTGAAGACTTGCATACAAGTGCCATTACATTCCTTCATATTGCAAAACCGGAAATCTTTATCCTATGCAAAAAAGGGGAAGATAACACACACATACACACACACACATATATATATATATATATATATATATAATCTTATTTTAATCTTACTTTAAATTGTTACTCATTTGTTTTATAGATAATAATTTCAAAATAAGATTGTGTATGTGTGCAAATGTATGTGTACATATGTGTGTGTATATATAGGTGTCTCTGAGACCACAGTGTTCATATTACAAGTGTAAAGTGCTGCTTTTGATGTTCTAGATGGGTACCGGGGAACAGAACTCAGGTACTCATTCTTCTGTTGCAACTACTTTCCTGACAGAGCTGTCTCCACAGATCATAAGTGAGGATTTTGAGCAAAGAAATGAAAATTCAAATATTTATGGTAATGATTTTTCTCATTCCTAACCTTACACGGTTAATTTTTATATGTCATTATATTTAAGATTCACTCTTGATCAGAATTCTTTTGAATTATTTTAAAGTGCATTTCTGAGATAATTATTAAAATATTTACAAGTATAATTACAAATTATTTTAAAGACAATTAAAAATTTGGTTCCAAATTTCCATACTCTTAAGGACTAAGAAATACATCATAGAGTAGATCATAAAATAGTGTTCTCTATTAATAACACAAAATTTTACTTACATGTATGTACATATATATGCATATTTATATTATTTTGAGGCTAGTAAAGTGACTTAGCAAAATGTAAGAGAACTTGAAGAATTTAGAATGATGATGTTTCACACACAAGGAAGTAGAATGACCAAGATGGAAATACAGAAGTAGTAAAGTTGGTTGCACCATTTCTTTCTACACCACTGTGCATTTAAAATAAGACAAATCAAAGACATTTGTGTATCCCATCAATTACTGTGGATCTGTGCTAACTAGATACAGACTAACTAGTCCACCTGATACCCATTTTCTCTCTACTCCCTGCATACAGTGGAAGCAGTGGTTATGAGGCTCAGATTTTAAAGGAACATGGAATGTTTGCCAGACAATAAATGTTATTCAGAAAAATCTGGCATATTTTTCTATGCTCAGAGAAAAAGCTTAAAAAATTGTGTTAACCTTTGCTTCTATAAAAAGAAGGCCTATCTGCTTGAGTAAATGTGGGTGCTAAGTAGACAGAAGTCTTAGGTTTGAGAGCCAAAGACCTGCAGTGCTGTCTAGTCTTTGTCAGGTTTGATAACTTAAGATGATTTTCCTCTGAGAAAATGAATGGTAAGAATAGAGTTGAGTGATCTTCCCTGTCTTATTTGCATCTTGGTGGCTTCTGATGCTTGCAGAATATGAGTGTATCCATACACTTAGTGTACAAATATAGATAAGTGTTTAAGATATTCAATTTCCAATGTCTTGTCAGGTAAGAGGATAAATAACAAGTAGAAAAGCATGCTAACATCTCATGTTGTGAAGTATGCTGGCAGTTTCTATGATTGCACTCCCCTGTCCCCATTTCTCTCAGCACACAGAAAGGACATGTGAGCACACAGCTCCTTGCTGTCTCCAAATCAGAAAAAGAGAGCTCATGATCAACCAGTTTGCCTGTGCCATTCATGCTTTTGGATATCCCAAACCTCCAGCTGTGTGATAGTCTCAAGCATAAGCCATAGCTGTCTGTAGCATTTTGTCATTGCAGATCCAAGATCAAACACTAAATGACTGGAGCATGTGCTCTATAAAGAAAGAAGAGGATCAGATTGACTCCTCCCCTTCCTATCCAGTTTTGAACTTGGAAATTGAGAGATTTGTTTTATTATTATTTATTTTTATTTTGTGTACATTGATGCTTTACCTGTGTCTATGTCTATGTGAGGATGTCAGAACCCCTAGAACTGAGCTACAGACAGTTGGGAGCAGCCATGTGGGTACTGGGAATTGAACCTCTGTCCTCTGAAAAACAGCCAGTGCTCTTAACCACTAAACCATCTTTCTATCTGTTTTATTTGTATTGTAATGTAAACATATGTACTGATGAAGTAAATCAAAACACTTTGCTCAGTTTCTACAACTTGGTATGACTCATACATACAAATAAAGTTTTATGAAAACATCTCATAATTGTTTTAAATTTCTTTAAGTCTTTTTAAATTCCTAAAACAATCTCCTATTCACAAACATGATTCAAGGGCTATAAAAAGAGCCTGTACACCAAACAACCTAAAGGTACATTGTCAAAATTGTACCTAATTTTAGCATTACCTAGCCAGAAGTCATGTTCTCTTGCATTGATTCAATCCAGTCATTGAACTCAGAAGTTAATGTACTTCTGGGTTAGCATATAAGGTTTCCTTTCCTTTGCTGATTTCGTCCCTCTCTCCTTTCATCCATCCCCTTCCCCCATTGCCTCACTTCCGTCCCCCTTCTTCTTTACTTTGAGATAAGTCTTGTCTCAAAATAGCTATTTAGCAGAGGATAAGTGAACTTCTGATTCACCTGTATCAGGTCATGACCATCACCATTTTATGCAGTGCTGCATATCCAAGACAGAGCTTCCTGAACCCCAGCCAAGCACTTTATCTACTCAGTTTCATTCTTAGCCCTGGGGTAGTTTCTTTTACCTAAACTATATTGTTAAGGCATTGGTAAAATAGGAAAGACCTAAGGAATACCTAACAGTCATACATCAATGTTGTATTCAAGTTTACTTTCTTACATGTAATTTATGCTTTACCAAGAAACTTTTTTGAACTTATAATTAAATATTTCACCCTTCCCTTTCCTCACTTCAAACCCTCTTATATACCTATCCTTTCTTCTTTTCAAATTCATGGCCTCTTTTTTATTAACTGTTATCATAAGCATTAATGTTTAGGTCTATATCTACATATCCTAAATAAAACCTTTTCAGTTTGTAACTTGTGTGTATATTTTCAGGCCTCACCATGTTGTGTTGGATAACCAAATGGTGTGCTCTTCCCTATGTCTCCTACTGTCAGCATTCCTTAGTTAACCAAATACTTTGTATAAGGTTGAGGCCCCTGGGCCTTCTACCACCAATTTTGGTATGCTTATCATTATTGTCTTTGTTCAGCTCATGTTTCAGGCTGCTATGTTGGTGAGACTTTGTGGCTGTAACTTCTGCCATTAGGAGGAAAGACAGTCTTAAAATAAACTCATTAATGCTCTGGCTTTTACCATCTTTTCAGCCCTTCTTCATCAGTGTTCCCTGAACCCTAGGTGTGGGAATGTTTTGTAGATATATCAATCCTGACTAGGATTCACAATTCTGCCTTTTGATCTATTATGTTTTCTCTACTGTCCATTGCACAGAGAAGTTTTCTTAGTGAGGTGTGAGGACTATATTTATCAGTGAGTATAAGAACAAATGCTTAACACTGTTATTATGAATTAGGCTGGTTTAGTAATGTGGGGGTGTAGGTTCTCCTTCAAGATCCACAGCACCACCAGCAATGAGTAGTGGGTCTTACGTCTTATAAGAGCTAAAAATCATTGTTATAAAACATTTTTAAATAAAGTAAGAAAGTATTTTTTCTGAAACTCACGTATTGCTATACTAAATTATTAGGTACATTGTGTTGAGATGACAAAGCAAAAGAAATAACCACC